GGCGGGGGGAGGCTCTTTATATTCCACACATCACATGACTTATTTGTAACAATTTATCGGATCTTCACATTGATACAATGAGATCTATTAATGTCTCTGTAACCGCCAATCTGGTCATGTGACTTCCTGGGCAGTGGTGTAACTAGAAATCACAGGGGCCCCCTGGGAATATTTTGTATGGGGCCCTGTGATTTCTAGTTACCTGAGTTACGCCCACCTGAGATCCCACACAGCCCACCTGAAAGTGACCCCCCCAGAGCCACCATGGACTCTCTATGGTGGGCTCTGCAGGGTCTCAGGTGGGCGCGGTCAAGCCCTCTTACCTGTCTGCATCGCAGAACCTGGCCTCGGGGCGGCAGGGAGAGTAAATCCGGCCCTGACTGGAACGTTGTGTTGCGTACAAACACCGAATACACCAACCTGAACGGCGTCCTTTACTTTCGGCTTGTTGTTGCTGATGTATCCTCGGCACTTCACAACTCCCCCAATGTGCAAAGAAGAATTGCAAACCCGAACCCGAGCCGTGCGACGATCCGAAATGTTCTGGAACGATAAAACCGTAAAAAGTGAAACTCAGAAATTAGGGTCAGTAATAGAAGCGTTCGCGGGGTCACCGGCAGATTTGATAAATTCCCCCCAATGTATCTCTATGTCGGCTTTCCATCAGTTCTATCCCGCTCCTAATACTGAATATACTAGGGGTGCAGCGATACCGATACTAGTATTGGTATCGGTGCCGAGTATTTGGGCCAGTACTCTCCCTAATGCTCCGATGCCTGGCCCGATACTTGAACTTCCGGTATCAGGAAGCTGGGCGGCGAGTCATTACACGCCTACCAGCCTCCTGATTGACCGAGAAGCCGGCTCCCTGGTCATTTGTGACCAGGCAGCATGGAGCCGGCCAATCGGCGTGTAATAACTCGCTGCCTGGCTTCCTGATTGCTCGGGAAGATGGCCAATCAGTAAGCCAGATGGCCAGTCATTACCCCGCCCCCCTGATTGGCCAGAAAGCCAGCCCCATGCTTCCTCATCACCTGGTGACGAGGGAGCATGGAGACGGCTTCCCTGCTAATCGGGAAGCCGAGGGGGCGGGGGCGGGGGGGAGTGAGTCATTACACGCCGCATGGCTTCCTTAATGGGACTTCCAGTATTCGGCGAGTACCGGAAAAAATATCGGTACTTGATACCGAAAAACCGGTATTGGTGCATCCCTAGAAGATACCCCCAGGATGGACTTCCTGAATGCAGTGACACCATTTCACTCAGCCCTGTTGTCACCACTGTCACAGAGCCGGCCTTCTGAACTACAACTCAACGTCTAAACAATGTAACATGATCACTGCTGGCTGGGAGCATTGCATGATGGGATATGTAGTGTTGAGAAATGGAGATTGCATCACATCAAGCAGCAGGGAAGGAGACGCAAAGCACGCTGGGAATCCAGGAAGTGACTGGCAGACGGAAGGCGGCGCTCACTACATGAAAGGGATTTCTTCATGTAAGCTTTGATTGTATTTCAGAGACACCTCCGGTATGTATTCCTATCACAATGCTGATGATAGAACAGGAGAGGAGATGCCGGGACTGTACATCTCCTTTAAGTAGTGGGCGGAGTTACTGACGGTTTATAATCTGCTTGTCATTATATTCGAGCCGCTCACATACAGGAAGCTCAGAGCTCCGGGCTTCATGGGAGGCCAGTACAATGTCAGCCTCGGGTCTCTGCAAAAAAACAGCGCCGGGCCGACCGCAAACTTCCAGCAGGAATGTTTTGCACGGCCGGCGGCTCTCAAGCCTCCATTTCATTGGCAACTCCGGTCCACGCAGAGGATCGGGAACCAAATCGGAGTGGTTCCCAGTCATGTGACCACTATGTCAGCTCGGACAATGATCCCATGCAGACTGAAGGCCCCACAGATGATGATAATAATAAAATGGAAATCTTTAGCCGCTTTCAGAGTGCAGAGTTCATCTATAGAGCCATTTATTTCATAATGTAACCGTCAGATACAACCGCAATGTTAACAATTATACAATATAAAGGGGTTTATGGCAGATCATGGCTGCAGCCCGACGTTATAGAACAAGCTTTGGTCCAACGCCTTACTCACCGAGGGGGAGAGAATTGTGGCGGAAACAATCTGACGGCCGGAACTTGCCACAGAGCGTCCTTTCTTCTGTACAACAAAAACAAAAGCCACATTTATAATGTAAAATATATAAATTGGTCATCTAATTAGACTTTGCGGGAAAATACATTTTCTGAACGGGGGTGTAATATATATATATCAGTATTGGAAAATAACAGTTGTATGGCTTAAAGGAGAACTATGAGGGGGGGGGGGGGGGGTTTCCCACGCCCCTCATAGTTCTAGCCGACGTGTGACAATGAGACTGTCACAGGTCGGCTCAGTAGATCGGGAGGTGAGAGAACACATACCGGCGCTCGCTCACCTCTCGATCCTGTCACGGCTCTCTGCCATGACAGGGGAAGGGCTGGATTCCAGCGCTGAGCGGCGGAACGGACAGGGGAGGGGGCGGGTACAGCTGGCTCTGCCTCTAGATAGGCGGAGCCAGCTGTCACTCACGCAGCTGGGCGGATCCAGACATAATTGTCGGGATCCGCTCCGGCGTCTCAGTATACCGTGAGCTGTAGCTCCCTATATACTGAGCCTAGGGTGACGGGAGGACGCTAGTTTGTGTCCTCCCGTTACCCTGAGGAGAACTATGGGGAAAAACACTGACCCCGTAGTTCTCCTTTAAATACAGATTCATATCCTCACGTTGAAGCTTTGTATATTAAAGAAGAACTGAAGCCAAAACGTTTTTTATACAGTAATGGCGGGTTATAACCCCCGTCAGCTTTTTATGCCCTCTGTCTCTTACTGGGGAGCTTTCTCTTCACTTCCTGTCCAATAGACACCACAGGAAGTGAGAGGAAATACTTTTTAAATTGAGGGAAATCGCTGATGGTCAGCAGAAGCAGTGTCCCCCCTTGTGACAATACAGGCCTGTAATGTGACGTGTCACCGTCCTGCTGATTATATAATCGGAATGACCATTATTTATGTGTTTCCTGTTTATAAATAACAGAACGTACAAAGTATCCGCCCGAAACTCTCACCTGCTCCTCCAGCAGATCACTCTCCGTGTCTTTCAGCCGCCCATTAAAGAGTATTGTGCAGTCTTCTATGTCCTTCGCCCATTGTGCCAGTCTAGTCTACAGATAAAAGAAGTACATAGTAATGAGGAGCGATTCCTCTCATTGGAGGAGAGATATCTGGACTTCAATACATCGGCGTCCCATACACACCATATACCCAACAATGGAGTTTGGGACTTCCCTGTGATATTTACAAACAGACCAGACAGGAGGTATAAAACCAGATCCTAATATAGTCCATGTCACCAAACATGTCTACAATCATCTTCTCACCGCACAAATAGGCGGAGACATCAGATGTTCACATTGTAATACACTAAGATCAAAGTTCTTGTCTTCTCCCGACACGTTTCTTGGAGCAACCTCCACTTTCTCAGAGGAACATTCATATATATTACTGATTGTATATCTTGGGACAGGTTTCTGGCTGAGTCAGTATGTTCCTCATTGCGTCTCTGCGGACAGGTTTCCGGCGCGCACCTCTGCGGACACGTTTCCGGCGCGCGTCTCTGCGGACACGTTTCCGGCGCGCGTCTCTGCGGACACGTTTCCGGGTCAGCATGGTTTTGATTCTGTTTGCAATTGTCCCTTTATTTTAGCACTTCGATTCTTCAGCACACGTGGGACAAGGCTGATGGCCTAGGGGCGTCTTGAGGCTGGGTGACACCCGGAGCGGTGACGTCATCACGCACGTGCGGCAGTATTCTGATACCTGCCGGCGGCCATCTTGGTGATGGACGCCGGAAGAGAGAGGAGGGGACAGTCACCCGGCGGGATAAGGTATGCCGCCGAGTCCCCTCCTCTCTCCTATCGTGGTGTCATGGCAATAAAGCCAGTAACTGAGAAGCGGGGTGCAAGATCGGACCATGCAGAAGACGGCATGGAGCGTAGGCCGGTACGTGGACTATGTCGGTGTACCTCACGGATGCCATCAGAACTCAATCCTTTAAGGGGCATTAAGGGGTTAATAATACAATAAAAAAAATACATATGGTGAACATTGCAATATCCGTGTTATAAATACAATATATCCGTCCCCTTCATACGCGGGACGACAGTGGAAGATAATAAATACGATGAGGACTCACCCGCAGACATTTCTGCTGCTCCGGGTAAGATGAAGATGACGGGAATGACACCGTGAGATCTACATGAAGGTTACATTCTATGGTGAGCCAGGACACCGGGGAGCTCTGGTACTTCCAATCAGCCGGTTTAGCCGTACTCTAAAAAAAACAAAAAAACACAATGAATAAAAAATAAAAAGCTTAAAAAAAGGAGAACTACGAGGTCAGGGCTTTCCCCATAGTTCTCCTTAGGGTAACGGGAGGACACAAACTAGCGTCCTCCCATCACCCTAGGCTCAGTATATAGGGAGCTGCTGCTCGCGGTATACTGAGACGCCGCAGCCGGAGCGGATCCCAACAATTGTGCCGGGATCCGCCCAGCTGCGTGACTGACAGCTGGCTCTGCCTAGCTAGAGGCAGAGCCAGCTGTACCCGCCCCCTCCCCCGTCCGTTTC